GCTAAGAGAGTATTGAGAAAGGTCAAGGTCGAGCGAACATGCCGAACAATCGTCATGTGATGTGAACTCGTTTAGAATCGGCATAGTCGTTGTTCGTGTGTCAATTTAACGAGGTGATTGCTCCTTTATCCGTGGGATTGTACTTCGTACATCTTATCAGCTGTGAGAAATTTTCTTAGGATAAATTTCATCCTTTAATCGAGTTCTTCAAGTAGTACATCGAAAATCACGATTAACACTGGAATTATTCTGTTGTGTTCATTTCAGTGAAAAGAATTAATTAATCATTTATTATGATTTAAAATGTTCCATATAATTTTTTTTTTTATTTAATATTTAATCTAATGCAATATCTCACTTCAATCTGTTCTTTGAATGAAGTGGAAGACATAGTAAGTCAATGTTTTCCTTTCTTTAATAATTCTTGGCAATTAGATCGTCATTCAATGTCAACTAATCGAGTTATATCATTCTCGATCTACCTTATGCCAGTTTTAATCATGATCCAACAAATCGTGGAATGTTGAAAATGAAAGAAGTTAGATGAAAGAAGAGATCTTATGGTTCCAACTTTGATTAGAGTTATGTTTTCTCGATATTCTAACTACTCAATGATCGTTTATCTGGACGCTTTCTTCTTGATATCTGCCATTTGACTCATTTTATGACATTTATGATATTCTGTACTACATAAACTGGGTATAATATCTATGATTCATACATGGAACTGGTATATATACATAGTAGCATATTTCTAGCCGAAGAATCCAGTTTCGAAGTTAGATTGAGTGAAGCACAGACACGTTTTTCTAATACACGAGATTGACACTTCTGCATGTCATGGATCACATTCTAATTTTGTAATATCTTTAATTTTAAGGATAAATGGGAATTCATAGATCGGGAAAAGGAAGGAAAGCTGTTCCGTCAATTTCTTTCCCGCCTAACGAGTGTGCGTGAATAATTTACAAGTACGATAACTTATAATTATATTCATATTGTGCATCGACATATTTTATGAGTATGATATGTCATATGCATGGATTGAATACGGTGCAAACAAACGAAATCTAATTAAATAGAAAAATTTTATAAATATATAGAATGTTAATATATTCGTGGAATATGTTTAGAGGATCGATTCTAAAGGGTAAAACATAAAAGTGTTGATTAAAATATATTTATTAATTATAAGCAATTTAAGTTCATATTGGACGAAGCGAGACAAAAACAGAGAAGATAATGTAATGATTTCTATCTCGCTTCGTCTAACTTGCTTTTTAAGGAATAAATCCTTAATCGACATTTTTATATACTAATTAATACTGTATTGTTTTCTAGATCGTTGTTAGAATCTCCAAAAGATCCCACGAATATATTAATATCCTGTTACGAATCGCCTCCTTTTCAACGCCTCCACTTTAAAGTCCACTTTTTTTCTATTTCGACTTCTCTCTTTCAATCTTTCCTCTCTTATCTCCATCACGATCGTTGTAACATTCCAGCCAACCGTGGACGACGATGGCGTCGCTGGGGAATAAAGTGGATGAGCAAGTCGCCAAGGTACCGCAGCAGAATGGACGGAGGAACGAGGAACAATTGCAGATGGAAGATATTCATGACAATAACAACGAGGTAAGAGGCTGGACATAATATCATGCAAATGAAACAGGTGGGCTTGGTCCGATCGGATCGATGTTATTCGATAATGTTCTATGAGAGTGGTCGAGATGTATCCAATTGTATATAAATTGCACGTAGATACCGTGACATTAGTTGCGACAAGATGCCTCGATAAACGTGTTCTAGACGTGGATCGCACGTGGCAACCACTCAACTTTGACATTTCCCTTCCGCGATGAATTTTCAATGAGCGGCGGTGACTCGATTATTTTCATTCATCCTTCGCGAGCAAACCTTGCTGCAAGAGAAAACTTAAAAAGAATCTTCGATTTAAATAT